AGACATTTTTGGAGATCAATTCTATTCTTGATAAATTTCAGTCTGGTTTTAGATCCCGACATAGCACCGAGTCAGCACTGTTAAAGGTGCACAATGATATTGCCTTGTCTGTGGATGCTGGGAATCCTGCTGTGCTGGTGCTGCTGGACCTCACGGCAGCCTTTGATACAGTTGACCATGCAGTCCTTGTATCTCGCCTAGAGCAGCACGTTGGCATCCGTGGCACCGCTCTCCAGTGGTTTAGGTCATACCTGGCAAACAAGAGTTTCTCTGTCTTGATTGGTGACCACTGCTCCTCAAATGCATCGCTGCCCTGTGGGGTGCCACAGGGATCTATTCTCGACCCTATTCTGTTTTCATTGTATATGCTACCTCTGGGATCAATTATAAAAAAACACAACCTGTCTTTTCACTTTTATGCCGATGACTTGCAGATATATTTGCCCATGACACCAAACGAAAACACTGCACTTACTAAGCTGCTGGACTGCATCACAGATATAAAACAGTGGCTGTCACAGAACTTTTTGTACTTAAATGACAGCAAAACTGAATGCATTTTGTTTGGTTCACCAGCTATGTTGAATGTTCTCACCACAAATTCTGGCACCCTGGCCCCTCTTTTTAAATCACATGTCAAAAATCTTGGGGTAACATTTGATACTGGGCTCAAATTTGACAAACAGATTAGCTCTGTTGTCAGTACGAGCTTTTTTTCAGCTCCGTCTTTTGGCCAAAGTCTTTTCTCTGTCGGCAGGATCTTGAGAAGGCAATCCATGCTTTCCTCAGCTCAAGGCTGGACTACTGTAATGCCCTTTACGTCGGCCTCAGTCAGTCCTCAATTTATCATCTCCAACTTGTGCAGAACGCTGCTTCCCGATTTTTAACTAGCACGTCCAGATGCGAACACATTACCCCTGTGCTGTCGTCACTCCACTGGCTTCCAGTCCGTTTTAGAATTGATTTTAAACTTTTGTTGTTTGTTTTTAACACCATTAATGGCTTGGCCCCCTCTTACTTGTCAGAGATTTTAACTTTTCGCAATTGTGGCAGAGCCTTGCGCTCTTCGGGTCAGCTTCTGTTAGAGGTCCTTAGGTCCAGACTTAAACAGTGGACCGTCGCTGCTCCTAGACTGTGGAACAAACAATGCCCCCTGACATTCGCACCACTACTGATCTCGGCCTTTTTAAATCGCAGCTTAAGACCCACTTTTTTAGATTAGCATTTAATTCTGACTAGGACAGTACTATCTCTTAGGTGTACTCTTTTTATCTGCTCCTTTCTGTGCATTTCTGGAAGGCTTTTAATACCCTGCAGTGCTGCAGCACTACAGCACTTTAAATTGTATTTGTATATTATATACGTGTTATGTATTGTTTCATGGCTTTGTTGTAAAGCACTTTGGGTACCTTTCGGCTATTGTAAAGGGCTATACAAATAAACTTGATATAATTTGATTTGATTTGATTTGATGGTGTTCAATGAGTGTGTTAGGATCATTAATACTATTGGTAATATAAGCTATAAGAATGTGAACAACCTCCAGAGATATAATCCTGAAGAACAGAACTGAGGACAGTCTGACTGTACAGTCTTCTACATTCATCATGATTTACACAAACATTGAAAATATGCTGCCTTTAATATGTTCTTCATGTTTTTATTGGAGTTTAAACAGACTAATGAAGTGAAAATGATAGAAATACAGATTAAAGACATGAAGTTGGACTAATGATCAGATCAGAGGGGGGAAGGTTATCTTACCGTGCACGAGGATCACAAACACCACAAACATCTTCATCTTCTGTAAAAACTACAACAACCACAAAGTCCTCATTAATCTGCTTCTCACTAAACGAACACTTGAAAAACACATTCAGTTCACAGCCACTTGTCACTTTCCTCCTCCTGATAATCTGCCGACACTGTGAGGAGAAAACTTTAGTTTCACTTTAAACTGTTTCCAGAGAAGCAGCCGTTGGAATGGAAAGAAATCGACTGAGCAGCTTTCACACAAACATTATTGGTTGATTGCCAATAACTCCCAAAACGACATATATGAGCGGTGGAGAGTAGAGCAGTGACAGACACACTGGACCTGAAGGACGTTAAACGGCGGGTCCGTGGTGTTGAACTTTGACGTATTGCCAAGAAACAGGGAGTTGTCTAACCTCAGTGAAACTGTCAATGTTTGATAAGAATCCCACCCTGAACACACACACACACATGCACATATTGAGTGATACTCATAGTGCCACATACTAAACAGGAAGTAAGCTTTGTGTGGTGATCTTGATCTGATTTACATGAGATGTTCATGGTGTGGTCCACACATGATACACTGGTGCAGCAAACCCTGATGTGTGTGGGCAGCGAGGGTCCGACCATTGCTGCTTGTAGCTTTGAGTTTTAGCTTTATATTTACAGGTTTAAAGTCTGCTGTTCCACATGCGACCCCTATACTGCCCTCTAGAGGCTGATTGTGGTAACTACTGAGACAAAATGAAACTGAAAGCATCCATTGTTTTTACCTGTCCAGTCGAATGTTTTAGGTAGAACTGCAGTTCTGTGCTTATTAAATATGTATTCTCTAAGTCATTTGCATTGTTTAAAAATCAATTATTTGACCTCTCCAACCAGTTTTATACAGCTGTCACTTTCTCTGGGTCAGGAGCGACTCCTCAGCTGCTGACTTTGTGTCCCAGGAACTTCCTTCTGAAGCTTGAGGCCGTAACCACCGAGGGCCTGAAACACCTCCTCAAGATGGTTCAGACTCTTAAAAACACAGTCTGTAATTAAAATACAGATTTTAGATTGAATTTTACATAAATATTACATGTAAAAACAATGTAATGAGCTATAAATACAGGTGAACACTGCTATAAAACAAATTATTGTGCTATTTTATTTATTCATTTAAAATTTTGGTTTGGATATTAAAAGTTATAGAACTGTAATAAAAGTCATTATCCGTGAGATTACAGTAATTATTGCTGTTTACACTGATAAAGACTGTATTTGGACAGTTTGGGGGGGCATATATATTCAATATTTTCTCTCTGTAAATAATCTTGGATCAACACATAGCATCCGTTTGGGTCAGACTGTCTCAATGGGAACAACTAACTGTTTCCTAATGAGAAGAGCCACGCCTCTACTTCCAGTGGAGTAAGATGGAGAATACACCTGGCCTACACAGTCTTTTTTATGACTAATAGAAGCTCAGAGGGAAGGTGATGATGTGAACCACAATACAAACACACTGACAAGACAACAAAAGCATAACACATAGAACCCAACATATTCCCTTTCCCATCCCAAGAGCTCCAACCTGTGGAGTTTCCAGAGCACCTCCTCTCTCTCTTCTGCTATACTCTATATCAAACTCCTAGACTTCATGGGGCTCAGGCCACTTTATAGTTTTCTTTACAACGTATAGAATAAGTGATACCAACTAGATCTGTTCTCCAACTGAACCTAAACATACACAGATAACAGTACCTTGGCCTTCTTAATAACCAGAGGTGGGTAGAGTAGCCAAAAATTGTACTCAAGTAAAAGTACTGTTACTTCAGAATAATATGACTCAAGTAAAAGTAAAAAGTAGTCATCCAAATAATTACTTGAGTAAGAGTAAAAAAAAAGTGCTTGGTGGAAAAACTACTAAAGTACTGAGTAACTGTTGAGTAATGTCTGATTTATTTTTAAACACAAGCATTCAATCAGAAAAAAATACAAAATAATCATCTTTAGGCAAATTATAATTCATCCAATCAATAAAATAAATTAAAATAAATTAATTAATTACAAAATAGCTTAAATTAAAATAATCCAGGTAAATTCAAGTACTTAAAAAAATAAAATCAATAAAATAATAATAAATATAAAATAAATAAGTAACACAAATTTCCAAACCTTTATACTTTTTTACCAGGCTCTGCAGGCAGAACTAGAACAAGACAGCCCATAAACTCTCATAAACTGTGTGTGTGTGTGTGTGTGTGTGCAGTGGCGTGCACAGACTTTTTGAAGGGCAGGGGCGGAAAGAAATAAAAGGGCACATATAGCGCTTCCTCACCACTGTAGAGGGCACTTTAGACACGTTTTATATGTTATACAAATGTCACATTATAGAGCCTTAAAACAGACTAACTAGACAGACTACTCAGGTTAGTTTGCTGTTAGGATCAGCATCCACGAGAACTGTGTGGATTTCATCGTTGGACTGTGAAGAACCCACACTGACATGGATGTGGGCCTGAGGAGAAGGAAGGAGAAAAAAGCAATAGTAAGCTTTAGCTTTAAAATGTGAACAACAGCAACTCACTAACCAACAGACTCAAATAAAGTCAACCAGCCACCCAAAAACACACACAATAATGCTGGCAGCACATGTTAACTACACTGCTGTAACCCATCCAGTAGAATACAGTCTCTAGTAGGAATACTGGTTCTGTGTTCTTCTAACAATATAAACTGATTGAGCAAGGACACGCTGACAATAAAACCTGGACAACATCAAAATAAGAGACATTCACAGGAAGAGCAAACTGTCCCACTTCCTGTTTTCAACACAACGAGCAACGTTTCCTCAAATGTTTGGACTGAAAAAGTGAACAAAGCCATTCACAGCTTTTTCTATTCAACTGTAAAAGCAGCTTTCAACCAGCAGAGGGCGTCGCTGTGCACTTTTATAGCTAGATATCTAGAATTCTAATAGTTTGCACTACAATGTCAAGATCTGCCTGAATCAGTCAGCCACACTACTATACACCCATATACAGAGTGTTTGGGGGGTTTAGCTCCTCTCTGAATTATATGAAGGATAAAGACCGGCTGCTCCATCACAACCTACTCCACAATGACATCCATGAGCCACAAGACCTCACAACCCAAAACTGTGTGAACAAACCTCCACAAAGTTACTGACTGTTAATATATATTATCTTATATATATATATATATATATATATATTTATATATATATAATCTATGTGTGTCAAAGACTGAATATGTTTCCTGTGGAATAAAATAAATGCATCTGCTGAGGGACAGTCAGTGAGTGTGTCTGTGTCCAACTCTTCCTCACATGTTAGTTAATGACAGACAGTCAGTGAGTGTGTCTGTGTCCAACTCTTCCTCACAGGTTAGTTAATGACAGACAGTCAGTGAGTGTGTGTGTGTCCAACTCTTCCTCACAGGTTAGTTAATGATGTTACTGAGTCAATGTGAGCAGATTGTGTCTGTAGACTGAAGAGAATCAGAGTCTCACTGATGGTGGAAATAAAGGTTTTACTTCCTTAAAACAGCCGTTTTTTGAATGGAGTTTGGTGTGACAGTGTGGAGCAGAGGGGATTTGAACCTTAATAATTCCCATAAACTGAGCTGACCTACCTTCTAATAATGAACCTTGGAAACAGCAGAGAGTAACAGGAAGTGGAGATAAACCCTCCTGTTTTCTTCTTCTGTGGTTTCGTAGTAAAAGGTAGATTAATAAACACAAACCCTGGAATTAGTTTACAGTAACGTCACATTGGACACAAACAGTTAATAAAGAGTGTGAAGCACAGAAACAGTGACAGACAGCAGAAATATGAGATTGAATAAGGTCGCTGTATATGTCAGGACACTCATCAATAACTATTTGTGTATTTTATATAGAACAACAACACAACAGCATTGTTTGCTGGATATAGGATTTATGCTCCTAATAGATACAAACAATACAGTAATGTTATTTTACGAGCTCAGAATTTACATTTACCACCAGTCAAATTAGAGGCAGTGCTTTCACTTAAAAGGGGGCGGGGCTTGACGCAATGGGACCTTCACCTGTTGAATCATAGAGTTACTACTTTAAATGTCCTACAGTGAGTTATTGTACATAAACAATCAGAGAGAAGATTGGATATTTCTATATAGTTATTGTTAATGTCTGCCACCGGGTCGGATTCCCCTTGAAATCAATGAAACCAGGCAGTAGAAACACTACCACTGTTGTCCACAGGGGGCGCCAGAATCAACTCAGACAGTTCCTGGAGTGTGACGAGTGTGCCGTCCCCATGGAGCAGAGCAACAGGCCGTACAGGCGGCAACTAACAGTTGATGTGATTGAGCAACTGTAATTAGTGAGAATCAATATTAGATTGTGGAAGCTGCAGATATTTCACTGCTGATAACGCTTTATGGACGCTGTCACTACAGACACAGTTTACACTCATTATGTTATTAAAGGAAATCATCAATCTGAGACACATGGCCTCCATCATCACACGTAGATACAATAAGAGAAATCTGCTCCCGCTCTGCCACATGGGGCGCTGTAATCAAAGTTTGGATGCCTCCTGAATCCATCATTCTCACAGCTTTAGATCCATTTTCATGATGCTGTCAGAGTGGAGATTTCTGTACATTTGAGCTTTATTTACAGTTGTTCTCCTCAATATTCATCATTCTCTAAACAGAGTGTGAAAGGATCGAATCCATAACTCATCTGCTCACAACACTTTATGGATTCAAACACATGAGAACAGTTCAGCTGACTGACACTCAAACAATAACTTCATTCAATCACAGAAAGTGACTGAACTTAGTGTCTGTCTAGTGTTCTGACCACTCAAAGCCATTTACACTACAGCCACATTCACTCATTCACTCATTCACACATTCACTCATTCACACATTCACTCATTCACTCATTCATTCATTCACACATTCACTCATTCACTCATTCACACATTCACTCATTTACTCATTCACACGTTCACTCATTCACTCATTCACACATTCACTCATTCACTCATTCACACATTCACTCATTCATTCATTCACACATTCACTCATTCACTCATTCATACAGTGATTCAGCATCAGGAGCAGTTTGGGGTTTGATACCGCCTTCTTTACGGATTTTCAAAATAAAAGTGAAAAAACGTTTTTGTGTCTCTGGCAGAAATTAGAGAAATAAAAACACATTTATTTTTATTGTTGATTGACACCAAGAGGAATATAAAGAATAAATGATTTATGATTTATTAAAAATGCCTTTTTAAGTGTGCGACATTCAACGTTGTTTAATTTTGAATTTAATATTGATATCATTTTATTAGAAAATAGAAAATATAGTTAAATGTCCATTTTAATTGAATGAATAATGTGTAGTATTTTATATATTTTTGTCTGTAATTTCTACCTCACCATACAGAATGTAAATGTCTTTGTAATAGCATAAACCAATATAAACAGATATAAACAGATATAAACAAATATATAGGTAGTGCAGTAACTACAGACTCATTTATCACATATATATTATATATAATACATATTCTGTATTTCTGATTGTTTGCAACTGAAGAGTCATTGAGAATAAAGCAATCCTTAAATATAATTTTTAGATGTTTAACCAATTAAATGTGTTTAAATTGTAACATTTATGGAAACTTGTGTTTAGAATAAGATTCTTGTTTTATAAATAAATGATAATCAATCAAATCTCTGTTATAAAATGTTAAAATTGCTGTTACAAGTTGAAGTTACATAAATGATGACATAGCTACAGGGTGTGCATTGTAACAGTTTATGGTTGTATAATCTTTAAGTTAGAGCGACACTGAATTCTGTCACAAGATAAAACATTTATAAGTTTAGAGGGCAGAATAGATCCCAAATAAAACAATCCTGAGTCTTAATATTAGCACAATAACTGGGGATCAAATCAAAAACTTAAACTTAAGTTAGGTGTATTCTTTAGAAATAAGCAGTAGGTTGCACATTGTACACGCTGCTGGCAGATATTTCCTGTGATTTTACAGTATTTTGGCTCAGTGCAGGACACAAATATAAATAATTAAGGCATAAATTAAGAGATGATCCAGTCCAACAGAACCCGACACTGAAGAGGAGCATCATCTCCAGGCTTCACTAGGATCTCTGACTGGTCTGAAGACAAAACACAAAGTGGTTCATTGATTTCTAAGAAGACTTTTTATTGAGAGCAGACTGAATTCAATCAGAACTTTATTTATAAAGCACCTTTGTGCAGAACTGTAATACAAAAAGATTAAAATATATATTGGATTAAGGCAAACTGGTCCCAGTGGACTCAGTTACACATTGTAAGTTATTGTCACAGATTGTAATGTGGGAACTGAGGATACATCACCACTCGCCAACCTGACTCAGGAGCAGGAGACGAGTGAGGCCAGCATCTCCACAGCAGGCCACATTCACTCATTCATTCATTCATTCATTCACTGATTCACACATTCACTCATTCACACATTCACTCATTCACTCATTCACACATTCACTCATTCACTCATTCACACATTCACTCATTCATACAGTGATTCAGCATCAGGAGCAGTTTGGGGTTCAGTATTTTGCTCAAGGACACCTCGACATGCAGCGGGAGGAGCCGGGGATCGAATCAGCGACCTTCTGATCAGTGGACGACCCGCTCTACCTCCTGAGACACAGTCAGATATATATGTATAGAAGCTGAATACACAAACATCAGAGAAACAATATAGAGCTACATGAGACCAATCAATCAGTCAAACAATCAATCAATCAATCAATCAATTAATCAATCAATCAATCAATCAGTAAATCAGTCAATCAATCAATCACAGTATGGACTGCAGGTTCATTCAGACGATGAAGAGAGGAAACACTGAAAGCTGAACGTTGACATTCTCTTCCTTTGAGCCCCTTCAACAAGATCAATAATCAAAGATTGATCAACAGACCAATCAAACAGATTGATCAGCCATCAGAGGAGTTGGATCAATGGAGCTGCTTCTGTTCCTGGTTCTCTCTGCAGAGGAGACAAAGGACAGTCAGACACAGACAGACACAGAGATCTTTGACATCTGACCTCTGACCTGTTTCTACAGTACTGACCTCTGACTGTGAGCTGCACTGTTTTCCCTCTCAGTAAGTTTTCCTCCTTGTTGTAGACGATGCAGGTGAAGGTGTTACTGTCACTTTCTGTGGGGTATTTCAGAGTCAGACTGAGGTCTCCAGTTTCCAGCAGGTTTCTCTTCATCTCTGTTCGGTCTCTGTAATACTGGTTCTGTTCTTCAGGCTGATCAGAACCGTTCTGATACACATGGACCTTCCTGTATTTGGGTTTATGGAGTTCCCACCTCACTGTCATTATGGGTTCAGGTTCATAGCGGCTCCACTCCACTTTAGCGTCCTCAGGCAGGTCAGCTGTTGTCTTGAAGGGCAGTTGGACAGACTCCGCCCCCTCCTCCACCTCCACCTTATGCTCTGAGAGAACAACAAACCCCAACATCAGCTGTACAGACAGCAGCAGCAGTTTGTAATAACTTTATTGACTGATTACAAAGTTGTAGAGAACCCTGAAGGACAGAACCAGATGAGAGCAGCAGGTAACAGGGGACAGAAATATAGGAACTAAAAGCAGGTTTTCAAGCTGTTGGACATGTTGTGATTTTCTGTCCATGTGCTGCTTCACAGTAATGTCTCATCTCAGTGTTGAACTGCTGTCTGTTGCTCAAATGTAACAGTGAATGAATCTTAGGTCGACAGTTAGCTTTAAGATCACTCACACACACTCACACACACACAGCTTTCATATTGTGTTTAATTATTACTTTAATGAACTTTATTATTCTGTGTATACGTGCTCTCCTGTTTAATGTTGCAGAGTGAATGAAGACAACCTCTTCTGTCCTGAGAGCTAACGTTAGGCTACGAGCCAGAGAGCTAATAATGATACAATATTCAAGGCACTGACCTTTGACCTGTATCTACAGCACTGACCTTTGACCTTGAGCTTCACTTGTTTCTTCATCAGGATCTTTCCCTCCCTGTTGTAGACAGTGCAGGTGAAGGTGTTACTGTATGTGGGGTATTTCAGGGTCAGACTGAGGTCTCCAGGTTCCAGCAGGTTTCTCTTCATCTCTGTTCGGTCTCTGTAATACCGGTTCTGTTCTTCAGGCTGATCAGAACCGTTCTGATATGTATGGACCTTCCTGTTGAATATGTAACTGTCCGTCCACTCCACTCTGACGTCCTCAGGCAGGTGAACTGTGGTTTTGCAGGGCAGCAGGACAGACTCCACCCCTGAATCCACCTCCACCTGGTAGACTGAGAGGACAACAAACCACAACATCAGCTGCACTGCAGAAAATCTATTTCTAAGTCAGTCAGATAATCTGATATTTAGATTTAAAATCTAGTGGGACTTGTTTTGAGTGTGAACTGATGATCTAGTGCTCACTATGGAAGCTGTTTGACTGAATTTAAGTAAATGTCACTTGTCTTAATGAGCAGTTTGATCTTATTTGGAGTTATTTTTAGCTACAGGGACACATTAGCTACAGGAGCTCCACTATGCTTTGACACTTTAAGATCTGAACTTTCAACACAAAAACATCTTATTTCAACTTTTAGTCTTTTGGCTTCTCTGATATTATATTTTACACTTTATCTTCAAACTAAATATTTCCTGAACCATTCAGTGTTTGGAAGTCAATAACAGTATTTGAGATCAATTCTTTGATGTGTATGAAGCCAGTGCAGAGCTCTAAGACCTGGACTCATGTGTTCCACTTAGTGTCAGTGAGGACTCTGGCAGCAGCGCTCTGAATCCTTTCAGTCTGGGTTTTTAAGGTGGTATTAGGAGGATCTTGTGATTCTGTTGATGTGGGTTTTGGTTTTTAAGTTTTTCACCGTCTGTAACTTTGATTATTGATTTCAAAGAAAACATCTGTAACCACAACACTGGAAATATTCACAGGTTTTGTAACAACTAGGTCAGAGTGTGATCCTCATTATGTGTCTGTCACATGTTGAGTCAGTCCATAACTGTAAACAATGTAAGTTAATTCAATGGCAGTAATATCCTGGGGGTTGTCACCAACCATAAGTATGCAGTCAAACTCAGTGCAGATAATCGACAGTGAATATATATGGTGGCCTGTAAGAACAAAGATCAACAGGAGACAGATATTCAAAAGAATCATTTTAGTGACATTTTCTTACATTGAACACAATCAAAGAAAAGAGATCACATCTCTCCTGTACTAGCTTCTCTGCTCTGGCTCCCTGTAAAATGTAGAATAGAATTTAAAATCCTCCTCCTCACCTATAAAGCTCTTCATGGTCAGGCCCCTTCATATCTTAAAGAGCTCATAGTACCCTATTACCCCACTAGAACACTACGTTCTCTGAATGCTGGGCTACTTGTGGTTCCTATAGTCTCTAAAAGTAGAACAGGAGCCAGAGCCTTCAGTTACCAAGCTCCTCTCCTGCCTCTCACTTACAACACAGCTACTAGTTTAATTACAATATAGTTACTATCTTACTTACAACACAACCGTTGGCTTAATTCTTGTTGTATATTAAGTAGCGATGATGTAAAGATGTATTGAAGAGAAGTTCGCTGACACTGTCTTGATTGTATATATAGGTTTATTACAAAAAGTCCAGCATCAATACAAGCGCTGCGGAGCTTGGAGAGCATCCAGCCAAATGGACAACCCTGTCCTATTTGCATCGAACATAGGCTTTATATATGTTGGTTGTTTTTCCAGAAAAAAAACACCTGTTCTAATAAATAATATACTAGAATGCTGAATGTGAAGTGAGATCAAGGAGGGTTTCGAGGGGGAGGTCAAAGGCCATCGAGGGCCCCTGACATTCCTGTGAAGAAGCATATTATATAATCCTCATATTTTATCAACAGTTGTTGTATGTCAGATACCACATTACAACACAGCTACTACTAGCTTAATTACAACACAACCGTTAACGTCATGCAACAAGTCAGAGAGCTAACGTTATGCTACGAGCTAATGTTATGCTACGAGCCAGAGAGCTAACAATGATACAATATTCAAAGCACTGACCTTTGACCTGTATCTACAGCACTGACCTTTGACCCAGAGCTTCACTTGTTTCTCCATCAGGATCTTTCTCTCCCTGTTGTAGACGGTGCAGGTGAAGGTGTCTCTGTCTCTGTCTGTGGGGTATTTCAGGGTCAGACTGAGGTCTCCAGGTTCCAGCAGGTTTCTCTTCATCTCTGTTCGGTCTCTGTAATCCTGGTTCTGTTCTTCAGGCTGATCAGAGCCGTTCTGATACACATGGACCTTCCTGTATCTGTCCCTCCACTCCACTGTGACGTCCTCAGGCAGGTGAACTGTGGTTTTGCAGGGCAGCAGGACAGACTCCTCCCCTGAATCCACCTCTACCTGGTAGACTGAGAGGACAACAAACCACAACATCAGCTGCACTGCAGAAAATCTATTTCTAAATCAGTCAGATAATCTGATATTTAGATTTAAAATCTAGTGGGACTTGTTTTGAGTGTGAACTGATGATCTAGTGCTCACTATGGAAGGCTGTTTGACTGAATTTAAGTAAATGTCACTTGTCTTAATGAGCAGTTTGATCTTATTTGGAGTTATTTTAGCTACAGGGACACATTAGCTACAGGAGCTCCAGTATGCTTTGACACTTTAAGATCTGAACTTTCAGCACAAAAACATCTTATTTCAACTTTTAGTCTTTTGGCTTCTGTGATATTATATTTTACACTTTACCTTCAAACTAAATATTTCCTTAACCATTCAGTGTTTGGAAGTCAATAACAGTATTTGAGATCAGTTCTTTGATGTGTATGAAGCCAGTGCAGAGCTCTAAGACCTGGACTCATGTGTTCCACTTAGTGTCAGTGAGGACTCTGGCAGCAGCGCTCTGAATCCTTTCAGTCTGGGTTTTTAAGGTGGTATTAAGAGGATCTTGTGATTCTGTTGATGTGTCCAGAACTTCACCAAGATTTCTGACATGGTAGAATCCTTTGGCTCAGCTAACGTTACACTGAGAGCCAGAAAGGTAAAGGCAGATATCCAAAAGAAAATTTTAGTGACATTTTCTTGCATTGGACTCAAATATTTATTAACTGTCTCTGAAAGACAATTAATATCAAATTATTGGACTTGGACTGAAACTTATGAAATAAAGTGAATATTAATAATTATTAGTACAATTAATGGAGCTAGTTCAGACAATCAACTATCAAAAGTGAAGGTAAAGTGGCATAGAGGTGTACTGTTCTCATTAGTATCGCCTACACCTGCTGACCATGTTAACTCAGAAAGATCGAGGAGATCCGATCCTGGTCCCGATACTGAAGGTTCCATTCTGTCTGTGTCCTGATGTGAAATCCGACTGTCATCAGTTCATTCCCTGGAAAACAACACGTTTTCCTTGATCTGTAATAGAAACACAGGGCCATCCTCTGCTACCTGTGAGACTGCTCAACCTGTCCCGCTGCCTGCTGACATCACACCCCACAGGATTCTGGGAACTGCAGTCCCAGCTCCAACAATGGGCTCTCGGTTCCTGCATCCCTGCAGTTGCAAGTCCTGATTCCTCAGGAGTCAAATTCTAACAGGTAATCTCACTCTGCAGTTATTAAAATAATACATTTTACAATCTATATTGACAGGCTTAAGGAAGTAATACAGAGTAATAGATGAGGAATCAATCAATCAATAAAATAATAAGTATAATAATTATTATTATTCTGTAATGTGGTTCTGATCTTCTGACACAATATTTGTGGATTGTGGAGATTTTCTGTACTTCAGAAAGAGAGTAATCCAGATTGTCAGAGACTCAGCGTTGCTTTTGGCATCTTTAGAAACTCCATATGTGAAGTTATCTGCAACGTAGAGAAGAGCTTGATACTATGGCTGTAATATCAGACCTTGCTCTCCTATGGTGGCTCTCTATTTATGAGTATCATAAGTCCTTCTCTGCCAAAGCTGCAATGTACATTCAGAATTCAATCAGAACTAGATTGGTCTATAGTCGTCCTGCCCCTAATCAGCAGATATTTTATAGGTCCTAAAACCCTAGTCTGCTCTATCTGCAGTTCCTTCCCCCACACAACCTCCCTCTGTCCAAGAACTGTCAAATCTAAGCCGCAGTTTATAATCTGTGCTAAATTCTGTCAGCCAGCCTCCAAAGGGACAGGTCCTTTCTTCAGGATAAAGGTCTCCTATCTGCATCAGTCTCAATGAGTATTTATACATTCTCTCACTGTATGCCTGTGTGTAGTTATTTACATCCTGTAAAAGTGGGGAAATAACATGAAGCATCTTTCAACTCCAGTGAACGTCCCAGCTCTGTTAAATCATCCTAACAGATTGTTAATTAAGTTATCATCGGCTCAGTTTAAAGATTCCTAGCAGGTCTATGCTGGCTCCTAAAAGTGACCCATGTAGAGAGCCAGTAGTAGTAGAGGATCTTCTCTCTGAGAGAGGTTATTAAAGGAATACATGTTATGTCATTGTTAAAATCACCCTTCTTCATCTTTAGAGTTAGCCCATAGCTCCTCACCATTCTTCCATTCTGAGCATAAATAACTTAAATTCTCAAGAGCTGTTTTCTTGTACTATGCTTGTGTAAAATACACAGTACCCAGAGGTTGGTGTATGGCTGGGAAAAACAGACATTACAGATGTCTTCAAGTCAAACCACTTCACCCTTCACAATGGCATCTTTTCAATGTAAATGTTCTAAATTGTACTTTTCTGTTAAACTGACATTGCAGCAGTAGCCCTTCTTGACAGAACATTATGTTGGATTCTCTACCTGCAAACTTTGTTTCCTCTCCCATCTTTTAGATGATTTTCTAGTGGGTGACTTTCCCTCATCCAGCTCACAGTATCTCTGCAGTCAGAAGCTTTTCCAGGAGTTCGGAGTACCACTTTCAGAAGAGAAACTGTAGGACCTTCTACACAGTTGGGATTTCTTGGTATAAGCCTTGATAGTGTGCTCATGCAAGCGTCTCTGTAACAAGACAAGCTGTCTCACATCAGAACAGCTATCAAATCTGGTCTGCTGCCTCCATTCTCTCTAGAAGATTCTCTGTAACTTCACTATGTACATTATCCCTCAAGGTCATCCATATCACGCTTGCTGGTTAAAATCTTAAGATGCTTTGTTCTTAGACAAAGGCTGATATTCGGTTCTAGTCTTTGTTCTGTGATGATGGACCAGCATTTCTCTTTATAATGACTATGTTGAATCTGTGGATTCCCTCCAGTTTTGACTGATGCAGGGCCTCTGTTGGTTTTGGAGGGTTCTCATAATGAGGTTTGCAGACGTCTGGCCTACTGAAACTCAGTCACTTAAAACCAGTTCTAAATCATTGCTCTTTATGAACTCTACCCATTGTCGTTGTTTGCTTGCTGTGGGGCAGCAGATGGTCCCAGAAACAAATGATGGTGTTTTATGAGCTGCTACAGTGGAAATAATCATTGTCTGTACATTTATTGTTTTTATTTGAATCCTGTCATCTTCAAATGCAAAGTATCAAAGCTATGCTAGCAGGGATTCAGTTTCACATTCGATGTAAAGATCCAGCATCCCAGAGTCTTCTGGGAAATCCTTACATTCATCTGCTCCTCAATGGCTTTAAAAGTTTCATCCTCAAGGCAACAATAAGACTCCTCACACATTCACTGGTGCATTAATTGTTTTTCACTTATATTGATGTAATGTTGGAAGACGTTCTGTTAATGGCTTTTATGGGTTTCTCAGGTGTGAATATTCATTGAGATCTCATCTTAATCCTCAGCATGATCTTCCCTTCTCTGATTTAACCTTAGAAGATCACATCACATGTACTCAATATTCTTGAAGCACTCACAATCTGATAGATCTCACTAAGGCACTCAAACTTTATTCCCAAGACTAACACTACATTTGGTCCTTTCTCTTCTATAATGAAATCCCTGCATCATCGGTCCAACCCATCGGTTGTCTCCATTGTTCATCGTTGATGGTTGCAACCCATGACGAGATCCTGGTTCTTCTTAAGATGTGTGATCTCTGCTGAACTGCGGCCTAATCTGAACACTATTCCCTTTACTACCCAAGATTGGTGCAGCTACAACTGCAGCTCTTCATCTGCCCACATCAACCAATCTACCAAGGTCAGACTCCACAAAAAGGAATCTTGATGACACAAAAGCTCATGAGCTTATATCTGCTGCCTAATTATATATTTACATATCAGGTGGTTGCTGGGTTTAGAGTATTTATATCTTTGCTATATGGGAAATGTTCCTGCATGAGGTTTCACTAAGTATTATATTCCCTCATGGCTTGAGGTGCTCATGGGGAATGGCCACATGGCGGCTGGCGCCAAAGTCCACACATAGAAGATCCTCCCACTAGCACTGTCAGGCTCCAGTCTGTGCGGTTTTGGGGGGTTTAAGGTATTTGCTCATCACTCCCCAATATCTCTATGTTATCATATCTGCAGGGAGTGATGAGGTCGGAGCCTGGACGCCAAAATCTAACTCTGCTACACTGCTGGAATAAACATTATAAACGTGAGTTGTCTGACTGAATTATTATTATATGAATCAAATAGAAAGCACTGACCTTTGACCCAGAGCAACCCTAACAACAAACCACAACATCAGCTGTACAGACAGCAGCAGTTCACTGCCCCATCCTACTCTTATAATCCCAGACCTCTGCCTCAACAGTTACACAGCTAAGAGAGTACAGACGATTGGCATTATGAGTAATGTAGTAGTGACATACCTGACATGAAATACTGCCGAAAATGCACGAAAAGACCCCCAGAAACAATAAGAACAAGAACCAGGAGAACCAGGAGAACCAGGAGAGCTTTGGCCCATGATGGAAATCGTTCTGTGGGAAACAGAAACATAAAGAACATTACTTCCTGACCTCTGACCTGTATCTACAGTACTGACCTCTGACCTGTATCTACAGTGACTTTTAGAGTTTGTTGCTGACCTTTGACCTGCAGCTGTATGTCTCTCACTCTCAGTTCTTCCCAAAACACTCTCACGGTGCAGGTGTAGGTGCCGCTGTCAGAGAGGTGGAGTTTTGTCAGATTGAGGCTGAGGTCTCCAGTTTCCAGAGCGTCAGCGATCATGGATGTTCGGCCGCTGTAAAGCTGGTTTTGGTCTTTAAGTTCATCACCTTCCTGCTGACGCTGGTGGATGGTTGGAGGATTGAGATCGTAGCGGCTCCACACCACTGTGGGGTTGTTCATCTCAAAAGTTTGAAACTCACAGGGCAGCAGGACAAACTCCTCCCCCTCATACAGCTCCAAAGCTGAGGCATGCTGGGAAACTGTGAGGTCACACAGACAGAGAGGTTCAATCACAGCAGCCTTATTTCAGGTCTTATTGCTCCTGGATCCTCAATCTGCTCCTGTTTGTGATCGGACTCACAAACAGGAGCAATAACAGAACAAACTGATAGACAGACTGTATTGATTCAACATGGTGTTTAAATGAGTGTGTTAGGATCATTAATACTATTGGTAATATAAACTATAAGAATGTGAGCAACCTCCAGAGATATTATCCTGAAGAACAGAACTGAGGACAGTCTGACTGTACAGTCTTCTACATTCATCATGATTTACACAAACATTGAAAATATGCTGCCTTTAATATGTTCTTCATGTTTTTATTGGAGTTTAAACAGACTAATGAAGTGAAGATGATACAAATACAGATTAAAGACATGATGTTGGACTAATGATCAGATCAGAGGGAGGAAGGTTATCTTACCGTGCACGAGGATCACAAACACCACAAACATCTTCATCTTCCTGTAAAAACTACAACAACCACAAAGTCCTCATTAATCTGCTTCTCACTAAACGAACACTTGAAAAACACATTCAGTTCACAGCCAGTTGTCACTTTCCTCCTCCTGATAATCTGCCGACACTGTGAGGAGAAAACTTTAGTTTCACTTTAAACTGTTTCCAGAGAAGCAGCCGTTGGAATGGAAAGAAACCGGCTGAGCAGCTTTCACACAAACATTATTGGTTGATTGCCAATAACTCCCAAAACGACATATATGAGCGGTGGAGAGTAGAGCAGTGACAGACACACTGGACCTGAAGGACGTTTAACATTTGGGTTGTGAAACGCTCAGTTTTAGTCCAGTTGACAATAATGTGCTTAATACATTAGACCTGCATTTTAGAATAAACAGATCCACTTCTGGTTCATTTAGCTAATTATGCAAAACATATGCAAGTTAGCCTCCAGTATTGTGTAAAAGCTGGGGACCCTCACTGTTCATTTATAACATAAAACTGTGGCTTACAATAAAGCAAACACACTATTTGGTTGAGGCAACAAGAGCACTTGGTTATGTCATTTTTGGGGTAAAATCAGTAAGTTATGGGATGTAAATCAGAAACACTTTATTGATGTGTAACACTGAGGAGGATCTATTGTCAGAAATATAATATCCATAGGTTTGTTTTCATTAGTGTTTAATCAGCTGAAAATAAGAATGGTTGTGTGTTCGTTACCTTAGAATGAGACGTTTTTATCGACCTACGCACTGGACCTTTAAAAGCTGAAATAAGTAAAGGGCTTCCCACCGGACACAGACAGCAGTCACTGGACTGAAAGGAGGCAGAGAAGGATCAGGTTCAGAGTTTGATAAAGCAGCTCTCTGGAATGAAGTCCGACTGCCACAGATCACTTCTGAGGAAACAGGAGGAGGTTCAGTTTCCTCATATTTATTATAGCTGTTGGTTTGTGTCAGCATGAAGCAGCCTCAGACAGACAGACTGACAGAACTACTTTATCAATCATTAAATAACTGAAGCGTTCAGCAAAACAAGCTTTTAATATTCACCTTTATTTCAAAAACATTTTAATGTCAGTAACAGAAACACTTTTCATTTGTACAATAATGATATCAAACTATCTTCTTCATGATGTCACAATGTATTGAGATATGTCAATGTGTACATACATATAATGAAGCAGTCTCTGTATTTGCTCCAAGAGCTGCAAATACAGACAGTTTCTGGGGGCGGGGCCTCACTGATTACACTGACTAATTATAAAACATTTCTATTGTTAATGTCACTAATTTTACATAATTTTAGAAATGTATTAATGATGAATTTAACCTATTAATTATTAATTTAATCTATTATTATTTCCAGTTACAGTGTTTATTTATTAGTCATGTAAATAGTTTTACAGTGTGTTATAAAGAGTGACATACTAAAACCAGTCAGTCAGTGTGTCTGTGTCCAACTCTTCCTCACAGGTTAGTTAATGACAGACAGTCAGTGAGTGTGTCTGTGTCCAACTCTTCCTCACAGGTTAGTTAATGACAGACAGTCAGTGAGTGTGTGTGTGTCCAACTCTTCCTCACAGGTTAGTTAATGACAGACAGTCAGTGAGTGTGTGTGTGTCCAACTCTTCCTCACAGGTTAGTTAATGACAGACAGTCAGTGAGTGTGTGTGTGTCCAACTCTTCCTCACAGGTTAGTTAATGACAGACAGTCAGTGAGTGCGTCTGTGTCCAACTCTTCCTCACAGGTTAGTTAATGACAGACAGTCAGTGAGTGTGTCTGTGTCCAACTCTTCCTCACAGGTTAGTTAATGATGTTACTGAGTCAATGTGAGCAGATTGTGTCTGTAGACTGAAGAGAATCAGAGTCTCACTGATGGTGGAAATAAAGGTTTTACTTCCTTAAAACAGCCGGAGTTTGGTGTGACAGTGTGGAGCAGAGGGGATTTGAACCTTAATAATTCCCATAAACTGAGCTGACCTACCTTCTAATAATGAACCTTGGAAACAGCAGAGAGTAACAGGAAGTGGAGATAAACCCTCCTGTTTTCTTCTTCTGTGGTCTCGTAGTAAAAGGTGGATTAATAAACACAAACCCTGGAATTAGTTTACAGTAACGTCACATTGGACACAAACAGTTAATAAAGAGTGTGAAGCACAGAAACAGTGACAGACAGCAGAAATATGAGATTGAATAAGGTCGCTGTATATGTCAGGACACTCATCAATAACTATTTGTGTATTTTATATAGAACAACAACACAACAGCATTGTTTGCTGGATATAGGATTTATGCTCCTAATAGATACAAACAATACAGTAATGTTATTTTACGAGCTCAGAATTTACATTTACCACCAGTCAAATTAGAGGCAGTGCTTTCACTTAAAAGGGGGCGGGGCTTGACGCAATGGGACCTTCACCTGTTGAATCATAGAGTTACTACTTTAAATGTCCTACAGTGAGTTATTGTACATAAACAATCAGAGAGAAGATTGGATATTTCTATATAGTTATTGTTAATGTCTGCCACCGGGTCGGATTCCCCTTGAAATCAATGAAACCAGGCAGTAGAAACACTACCGCTGTTGTCCACAGGGGGCGCCAGAATCAACTCAGACAGTTCCTGGAGTGTGACGAGTGTGCCGTCCCCATGGAGCAGAGCAACAGGCCGTACAGGCGGCAACTAACAGTTGATGTGATTGAGCAACTGTAATTAGTGAGAATCAATATTAGATTGTGGAAGCTGCAGATATTTCACTGCTGATAACGCTTTATGGATGCTGTCACTACAGACACAGTTTACACTCATTATGTTATTAAAGGAAATCATCAATCTGAGACACATGGCCTCCATCATCACACCTAGATACAATAAGAGAAATCTGCTCCCGCTCTGCCACATGGGGGCGCTGTAATCAAAGTTTTGATGCCTCCTGAATCCATCATTCTCACAGCTTTAGATCCATTTTCATGATGCTGTCAGAGTGGAGAAATGATTTCTGTACATTTGAGCTTTATTTACAGTTGTTCTCCTCAATATTCATCATTCTCTAAACAGAGTGTGAAATGATCGAATCCATAACTCATCTGCTCACAACACTTTATGGATTCAAACACATGAGAACAGTTCAGCTGACTGACACTCAAACAATAACTTCATTCAATCACAGAGAGTGACTGAACTTAGTGTCTGTCTAGTGTTCTGACCACTCAAAGCCATTTACACTACAGCCACATTCACACATTCACTCATTCATACATTCACTCATTCACACATTCACTCATTCACTCATTCACTCATTCATACAGTGATTCAGCATCAGGAGCAGTTTGGGGTTTGATACCGCCTTCTTTACGGACTTTCAAAATAAAAGTGAAAAAACGTTTTTGTGTCTCTGGCAGAAATTAGAGAAATAAAAACACATTTATTTTTATTGTTGATTGACACCAAGAGGAATATAAAGAATAAATGATTTATGATTTATTAAAAATGCCTTTTTAAGTGTGCGACATTCAACCTTGTTTAATTTTGAATTTAATATTGATATAATTTTAATAGAAAATAGAAAATATAGTTAAATGTCCATTTTAATTGAATGAATAATGTGTAGTATTTTATATATTTTTGTCTGTAATTTCTACCTCACCATACAGAATGTAAATGTCTCTGTAATAGCATAAACCAATATAAACTGATATAAACCGATATAAACTGATATAAACAGATATAAACCGATATATAGGTAGTGCAGTAACTACAGACTCATTTATCACATATATATTATATATAATACATATTCTGTATTTCTGCTTGTTTGCAACTGAAGGGTCATTAAGAAAAATAAATCCTCAAATATAATTTTTAGATGTTTAACCAATTAATTTTTTTAATTTAAATTGTAACATTTATGGAAACTTGTTCTTAGAATAAGATTCTTGTTTTATAAATAAATGATAATCAATCAAATCTCTGTTATAAAATGTTAAAATTGCTGTTACAAGTTGAAGTTACATAAATGATGACGTAGGAGCATCATCTCCAGGCTTCACTAGGATCTCTGACTGGTCTGAAGACAAAACACAAAGTGGTTCATTGATTTCTAAGAAGACTTTTTATTGAGAGCAGACTGAATTCAATCAGAACTTTATTTATAAAGCACCTTTGTGCAGAACTGTAATACAAAAAGATTAAAATATATATTGGATTAAGGCAAACTGGTCCCAGTGGACTCAGTTACACATTGTAAGTTACTGTCACAGATTGTAATGTGGGAACTGAGGATACATCACCACTCGCCAACCTGACTCAGGAGGAGGAGACGAGTGAGGCCAGTGTCTCCACAGCAGGCCACATTCATTCATTCACTCATTCACACATTCACTCATTCACACATTCACTCATTCATTCACACACACATTCACACATTCATTCATTCATTCATTCACTCATTCACACCTTCATACAGTGATTCAGCATCAGGAGCAGTTTGGGGTTCAGTATTTTGCTCAAGGACACTTCGACATGCAGCGGGAGGAGCCGGGGATCGAACCAGCAACCTTCTGATCAGTGGACGACCCGCTCTACCTCCTGAGACACAGCCAGATATATATGTATAGAAGCTGAATACACAAACATCAGAGAAACAATATAGAGCTACATGAGACCAATCAATCAGTCAAACAATCAATCAATCAATCAATCAATTAATCAATCAATCAATCAATCAGTAAATCAGTCAATCAATCAATCACAGTATGGACTGCAGGTTCATTCAGACGATGAAGAGAGGAAACACTGAAAGCTGAACGTTGACATTCTCTTCCTTTGAGCCCCTTCAACAAGATCAACAGATTATTGATCAGCCATAAGAGGAGTTCCATCAGTGGGTCTGTTCCTGGTTCTCCCTGCTGAGGAGACAGAGGACAGTCAGACACAGACAGACACAGAGACATCTGACGTCTGACCTGTATCTACAGTACTGACCTCTGACCTGTATCTACAGTACTGACCTTTGACTGTGAGCTGCACTTTTCCCCCTCTCAGTAAGTTTCCCTCCTTGTTGTAGACGTTGCAGCAGTATGTTCCTGTGTCTCTCTCTTTGGGGGATTTCAGGGTCAGACTGAGGTCTCCAGTTTCCAGCAGGTCTTTATTCATCTCAGTTCGGTCTCTGTAATCCTGGTTCTGTTGTCCAGATCGGTCAGAACCATTCTCATACACATGGACCGTCCTGTAACCTTTCACCAACTACACATTAACCCTCTCAGGCAGGTCAGCTGTGGTCTTGAAGGGCAGTTGGACAGGCTCCGCCCCCTCCTCCACCTCCACCTGACAGACTGAGAGAACAACAAACCCCAACATCAGCTGTACAGACAGCAGCAGCAGTTTGCAATAACTTTATTGACTGATTACAAGCTAACGTTACAGAGAGCTAATGCTATGCTACGAGCTACAGAGCTAATGCTACTAGCTTAATAACAATATCGCTATTAGCCTATGCTATGCTACGAACCAGAAACCAGAAATGATACAATATACCTACAGCACTGACCTTTGACCTTGAGCAGCACTTGTTTCTTCATCAGGATCTCTCTCTCCCTGTTGTAGACGGTGCAGGTGTAGGTCTTACTGTCTCTGTCTGTGGGATATTTCAGGGTCAGACTGAGGTCTCCAGTTTCCAGCAGGTTTCTCTTCATCTCTGTTCGGTCTCTGTAATACTGGTTCTGTTCTTCACGCTGATCAGAGCCGTTCTGATACACATGGACCTTCCTGTATCTGTCTGTCCATTCCACTGTGACGTCCTCAGGCAGGTGAACAGTTTTACAGGGCAGCAAGACAGACTCCTCCCCCTGAATACACCTTTACCTGGGGGACTGAGAGGACAACAAACCATATCAGCTGCACTGCAGAAAATCTATTTCTAAGTTAGTCAGATAATCTGATATTTAGATTTAAAATCTAGTGGAACTTGTTTTGAGTGTGAACTGATGATCTAGTGCTCACTATGGAAGGCTGTTTGACTGAATTTAAGTAAATGTCACTTGTTTTAATGAGCAGTTTGATCTTATTTGGAGTTATTTTTATCAGAAATAGATTGGTCTAAAGACGTACTGCCCCCAATCAGCAGATATTTTATAGGTCCTAAAACCCTAGTCTGCTCTATCTGCAGTTCCTTCTCCAACTGTCAAATCTCAGCAGAATTGAGCACAGATATTAAACTATCTGTGCTCAATTCTGTCAGCCAGCCTCCAAAGGGACAGGTCCTTTCCTCAGGATAAAGGTCTCCTATCTGCATCAGTCTCAATGAGTATTTATACATTCTCTAACTGTATGCCTGTGTGTAGTTGTTTACATCCTGTAAAAGTGGGGAAATAACATGAAGCATCTTTCAACTCCAGTGAACGTCCCAGCTCTGTTAAATCATCCTAACAGATTGTTAATTAAGTTATCATCGGCTCAGTTCAAAGATTCCTAGCAGGTCTATGATGGCTCCCAAAAGTGACCCATGTCTGTAAAACCCTGCAGTCGGATACTAGAGAGCCAGAAGTAGTAGAGGATCTACTTTCTGAAAGAGGTTATTAAAGGAATACATGTTAGGTCATTGTTAAAATCACCCTTCTTCATCTTTAGAGTCAACCCATAGCTCCTCACCATTCTTCCATTACGAGCATAAATAACTTAAATTCTCAAGAGCTGTTTTCTTGTACTATGCTTGTGTAGAATTAAAAAAAGTACCCAGAGGTTGGTGTATGGCTGGGAAAAACAGACATTACAGATGTCTTCAAGTCAAACCACTTCACCCTTCTCAATGACATCTTTTCAGTGTAAATGTTCTAAATTGTACTTTTCTGTTAAACTGACATTCGGTTGCAGCAGTAGCCCTTCTTGACAGAAGCATTATGTTGGATTCTCTACCTGCAAACTCTGTTTCCTCTCCCATCTTTTAGATGATTTTCTAGTGGGTGACTTTCCCTCGTCCAGCTCACAGTATCTCTGCAGTCAGAAGCTTTTCCAGGAGTTCGGAACCGCTTTCAGAAGAGAAACTGTAGGACCTTCTACACGTTTGGGATTTCTTGGTATAAGCCTTGATAGTGTGCTCATGCAAGCGTCTCTGCAACAAGACAAGCTGTCTCACATCAACACAGCTATCAAATCTGATCTGCCGCCTCCATTCTCTCTAAAAGATTCTCTGTAACTTCACTATGTGCATTATCCCTCAAGGTCATCCATATGACACTAGCTGGTTTTGGCTAAATCTGTTAAAATCTTAAGATGCTGTGTTTTTAGACAAAGGCTGTTGCTCAGATATTCAGTTCTAGTCTTTGTTCTGTGATGATGGACCAGCATTTTTCTTTTCAATGACTATGTGGAATCTGTGTATTTCCTCCAGTTTTGACTGATGCAGGGCCTCTGTTGGTTTTGGAGAGTTCTCATAATGAGGTTTGCAGACGTCTGGCCTACTGAAACTCAATCCCTTAAAACCAGTTCTAAATCATTGCTCTTTATGAACTCTACGCATTGTCGTTGTTTGCTTGCTGTGGGGCAGCAGATGGTCCCAGAAACAAATGATGGTGTTTTGTGAGCTGCTACAGTGAAAATAATTATTGTTTTTACTTGAATCCTATCATCTTCAAATGTATTAAAAGTATCAAAGCTATGCTAGGAGGGATTCAGTTTCACATTCAATGTAAAGATCCAGCATCCCAGAGTCTTCTGGGAAATCCTTCCCTTCAGCTGCTCCTCAATGGCTTTAAACGGCTCATCCTCAAGGTAACGATAAGACTCCTCACATAATTCACTGGTTCATTCATTGTTTTTCACTTATATTGATGTAAAGTTGGAAGAAGTTCTGTTAATGGTTTTACGTGTTTCTCAGGTGTGAATTCGCACATTTAATCCTCAGCATGATCTTCCCTTCTCTAATTTAACCTTAGAAGATCACATCACATGTACTCAATATTCTTGAAGCACTCACAATCTGATTTGTCCTTTCTCTTCTATGATGAAATCCCTGTATCATCGCTCCAACCCATCGGTTGTCTCCCTTGTTCATGGTCGATGGTTGCAATCCATGATGAGATCCTGGTTCTACTTAAGCTGTGTGATCTCTGCTGAGCTGCTGCCTAACGTGAACACTATTCCTTTACTACCTAAGATTGGTGCAACTACAACTGCAGCTCTTCATCTGCCCACATCAACCAATCTACCAAGGTCAGGCTCCACAAGAAGGAATCATGACCACACAAAAGCTCATGAGCTCCTGCTCCCCTTAATGCATTTAAATATTTGTATCTGCTGCCTAATTATATATTTACATATCAGGTGGTTGTTGGGTTTAGAGTTTTTATATCTTTGCTATATGGGAAATGTTCCTGCATGAGGTTTCACTAAGTATTATATTCCCTGATGGTTTGAGGTACTCATGGGGAATGGCCACATGGCGACTGGTGCCAAAGTCCACACATAGAAGATCCTCCCACTAGCAGCGTCAGGCTCCAGTCTGTGCGGTTTTCAGGGTTTAGCCTGGATGCCAAAATCTAAATATGCTACACTGGAGGAATAAACATTATAAACGTGAGTTGTCTGACTGAATTATTATTATATGAATCATATAGAAAGCACTGACCTTTGACCCAGAGCAACCCTAACAACAAACCACAACACCAGCTGTACAGACAGCAGCAGTTCACTGCCCCATCCTTCTCGTATAATCCCAGACCTCTGCCTCAACAGTTACACAACTACAAGAGTAAAGACGATTGGCATTATGGGTAATGTAGTAGTGACATACCTGACATGAAATACTGCCGAAAATGCACCAAAAGACCCCCAACAATAAGACCAAGAACCAGGAGAACCAGGAGAGCTTTGGCCCAGGATGGAAATCGTTCTGTGGGAAACAGAAACATAAAGATCATGACCTCTGATCTGTATCTACAGTACTGACTTCTGACCTGTATCTACAGTGAGTTTTAGGGTTTGTTGCTGACCTTTGACCTGCAGCTGTATGTCTGTCACTCTCCGTTGTCCTCCTAATGATCTGGCGGTGCAGGTGTAGGTGCCGCTGTCAGAGAGGCGGAGTTTTGTCAGATTGAGGCTGAGGTCTCCAGTTTCCAGAGCGTCAGCCATCATGGATGTTCGGCCGCTGTAAAGCTGGTTTTGGTCTTTAAGTTCATCACCTTCCTGCTGACGCTGGTGGACGGTTGGAGGATTGAGATCGTAGCGGCTCCACACCACTGTGGGGTCGTCCAGTTCAAAAGTTTGAAACTCACAGGGCAGCAGGACAAACTCCTCCCCCTCATACAGCTCCACAGCTGAGGCATGCTGGGAAACTGTGAGGTCAGAGAGATTCAATCAGCCTTATTTCAGGTCTTATTGCTCCTGGATCCTCAATCTGCTCCTGTTTGTGATCGGACTCACAAACAGGAGCAATAACACAACAAACTGATAGACTGACTTTATTGATTCAACATGGTGTTTAAATGAGTGTGTTAGGATCATTAATACTATTGGTAATATAAGCTATAAGAATGTGAACAACCTCCAGAGATATAATCCTGAAGAACCGAACTGAGGACAGTCTGACTGTACAGTCTTCTACATTCATCATGATTTACACAAACATTGAAAATATGCTGCCTTTAATATGTTCTTCATGTTTTTATTGGAGTTTAAACAGACTAATGAAGTGAAGATGAAAGAAATACAGATTAAAGACATGATGTTGGACTAATGATCAGATCAGAGGGAGGAAGGTTATCTTACCGTGCACGAGGATCACAAACACCACAAACATCTTCATCTTCCTGTAAAAACTACAACAACCACAAAGTCCTCATTAATCTGCTTCTCACTCAACGAACACTTGAAAAACACATTCAGTTCACAGCCAGTTGTCACTTTCCTCCTCCTGATAATCTGCCGACACTGTGAGGAGAAAACTTTAGTTTCACTTTAAACTGTTTCCAGAGAAGCAGCCGTTGGAATGGAAAGAAACCGGCTGAGCAGCTTTCACACAAACATTATTGATTGATTGCCAATAACTCCCAAAACGACATATATGAGCGGTGGAGAGTAGAGCAGTGACAGACACACTGGACCTGACGGACGTTAAACATTTGGGTTGTGAAACGCTCAGTTTTAGTCCAGTTGACAATAATGTGAACAGAGAAATGTTTGATGTTATAAATGTACAGTCAGGGTCTCCAACATTTAGAAACTGCTAACTTACATATGTTGTGCAATTAGCATTCATTAGCATAATCACCTATATGGACAATATTCAAGCAGCTGCTTGGCCCTTTAAACTGGAAGTGGTTATATTTCAACTCTGAGTTTCATTATTTTTGAGTCCATTTTGAGGTTATGTGCTTAATACATTAGACCTGCATTTTAGAATAAACAGATCCACTTCTGGTTCATTTAGCTAATTATGCAAAACATATGCAAGTTAGCCTCCAGTATTGTGTAAAAGCTGGGGACCCTCACTGTTCATTTATAACATAAAACTGTGGCTTACAATAAAGCAAACACACTATTTGGTTGAGGCAACAAGAGCACTTGGTTATGTAATTTTTGGGGTAAAATCAGTAAGTTATGGGATGTAAATCAGAATCAGAAACACTTTATTGATGTGTAACACTGAGGAGGATCTATTGTCAGAAAT